CTAGGCTTACCTATTGGGTCGATGATGAAGATAGCGGCGTGGGAGAGGCGAGGAAAAGATGGGAAAAAACATAAAAGTAAATGGGATGATAAGGAGGCGGAGGAAGAGAACAAAAAAACACACGGGCAGTATAATAATCATATTGATTTTAAATCCGGTTCAGGGGCATTTAGTAAACTGTTTGTATGAATCATCATCATTTTTACCCTAATTTCAGACACATAAACATGCCATAAATGTATTAGTTCACATCTACAGCCTGAGAAGGAGCAATTAACTTAATATCAGTACTTAGGTGAAATAATATTGTATTTGTCTACCGTGTATATAGTCTAACAAGTTATGTTGCAACTTTTTAATATGACCTATTGAGCATGTTAACTAATACTTGTATGTGTCGTTTTATCTATAAACCTACTTTAATAGTGTAACAAGACATCTGTGATGTAGCAATCAACGTCGTTGCATTAATAACAATGTCATTTTATAATGGGTTATTATACAAAATGGTCTCTGAGATTTGCATGATCAATAGAAATGGTTCTTGAGATTGTCCACCATCCATGATTTTGATCCTTCTGTTAAAAACTCTTTGGGCAATTTTCAAAGATTCGTAATTCAATCGATTCTTGACCAAATTCAACCCATAATATATCAAAATGAAGATAAGAAAGTGTAGAACAAGATTATACCTATTTTGAAGTCCAATGATTGCCGGTGATGGCCGGAAAATAGCCTGAAAGGTGACTGGTCCGCAGGAAAACTGGAAAACAAGTTGGAAATTGGGTAAACTTTAAACCTTCATAACTTTTTCAATACTCAACGAAATTCAGTGATTCAAAAACAAAAATTATACTTCTCAACGAGACGAAGAGAATGGTATATTTCTTTCCTGCTAAATCGCCGTGGTTTGACCGAAAAATTGCTCGAAATTGGCTAACTCGAAAATGGTTAGCCATTTTTGAGCCGTTGTCTGATCAAACCACGGCGATTTAGCCTTCGAAAAATGTACCATTCTCTTTGTCTCATCAAGAAGTAATATTTTCTTTTTTGAATCACTCGATTTGGTTGAGTATTGAAGAAGTTATGAACATTTAAAGTTTACCCAGTTTCTGGCGAGTTTTCCAATTTTCCTGCGGACCAATCACCTTTCAGGCTATTTCCCGTCCATCTTTGGCAACCCTTGGGCTTCCAAATAGGTATAATCATATTCTACACTTTCCTATCTTCATTTTGATATATTATGGGTCGAATTTGATTAAGAAACGATTGAGTTACAAAACTTTGAAAATTGCCCAAAATCGTTTTTAACGGAATGACCAAAATCATGGATGGTGGACAATCTCAGGGACCATTTCTATTGATTTTTAATCTTAGGGACCATTTTATTGATCATGCAAATCTCAGAGACCATTTTGTATAATAACCCTTTTGTAATTTTAAAATATTATGTAATATTGGACAACAAAATTTACAGTTATAATATTATTCTGCATTCTGGTAATTTAGATGTTAAATCATATTGAAACTTAATGTCATGTTGTAATAGCCTTAACGTGAAAGTTGGCGCGGGGCCCAAAATGGAATAGTAATGATTCTCTAATACGATGACGTCCACACATAATATCTTATGTTCACATTGTAGCACGACATTCACATTGTAAAAACTAACGTTGTTAATGTAATAACAATAGTATTTTGTAAACTCAACACTATTATGTATCAGTGGACAAAATTTTAACAATTTTTTTTGTCAAAAAATAAATTGACAATTATAGTGTAATATTACGTTTCTTCTAATTATAACATTGAATCACATTGAAATTTAATGCCATGTTGTAACAGACTACGCGTAAAGATTGTTGGTCCAAAATTGAACAACTCCATGTTCAGTCAAAAGTATTTAACGGTCAAGATAGTTCACTAAACTTAATCAAGGGAACCGTAGAATTTTTTTGAATGCTATAGGTAGTACGTTAATTGTATAGAATCTCACTTTATTGATTTCAAAATTTTTTATTTTTTTTTATTTTCAACCAATCTATGTTTTAGTGTCGGTGCATTAAGCCGCATATCGAACAAATGCAACACTACTATTAGGATTAATTTGGTTATGCATCAAATTAGTAGGATAACCATGGTAAACGAATATGGTTAATGACTGGTTCGATTATTTCCTTTCATAAGCAATGAAGAACATATTCTCTAGTAAAAGGCGAAAAAATAGTTCGTTTTGTGCCCAACGCATAGCTCCAATTTAGAATATATCCTATATACTCTCTTACATATATCGAAATTTGAACCAAAAGTTGAACAAATGATACCATTGAAGTGAAGAAATTTTGAAAGTGATATGACTTAATAGGATCTCACATTAATTTAGGATTAAAGTGGAGAGTTCAATAATAAAAATATGTAAGTTGAGTGTAAAAATAAGTTTTTAGGATCCAAATAAAATTTCCCAAGGTAATATGGTAATCAAACAATACTTTTCACAACCAACCATTTTCTCCCAAAAAAAAAAAAAAAAAAAAACACGCTTTACGATAAATTCCTACGCATGCATAGCATGCAGACAGAATTCTAAAGCTTATTAAGTGTTTTTCCTTTGAAATTGTTGTTTAGTCTTATTTTATCCTTTAAACCATTTTCATCTTATTTATTTTTATTTCACAATATTTTTGTCCATTCCGTTAAATAGATATTAAATTCAAAAGTAGTGTAGACATTTCATTTTTGACATACCTTTCAACATACAACTTGTTCGCTAATTTAATGTTTATTTGACTAAATAAAATCAAGATGACAATTTCATAAAGCAAAGTGAGACAAGACTAACTTTAAGAGATAAAATGAGATTAAACAGTTCTTTCGAGGGGCATCAATTAATGTCTAATTCTAAATCTACTTTAAAGCAAGTGGCACCCAAATTTGTGATGTTGTGATACATAAAATATAAAAAAAATGTAATATTAATTCAAACTAGTTACTTTCTTCCAAGAACTTACAACACATTAATCATAAAAAAACTGTTGATTAAAAAAAAAAAGAACATTAGTTAAAAATGCGATGTTTGAGGATCAATTCTAGTTAAATGCAAATTGAACCATATTATTGTTAGCCCTTAGTGAGGCTAAATGCATTCATTTGTCTTAGTGTAGATAATATCGTTTGTTCATAAATTAAAGAAAATGACAATTTAGTTCAATTTTTTGCTTTCATAAGACATTAATCGTTACATATATGAAAGAGAACTTTAAAGTGTAAATTGAAAAACAGCTTAAAAAATTTATAACTATTGGAGTGGAGAAATTTTGAGACTGTTGGGTTCAATATTTTTGTTCTAATTATAGTAAACGGTTGCCACTTAGTACCATGGTTTTGTGATATTCCTTTTCATTTGTAAGTGAGGCATTTTAGGTTCTAATCTCACCAAATTAGATGAATTTGAACAATATTATTGCTATACAATTGCAAAGCTAGGCGCACCCCTTCTTTTTAGTATAAATAATATTATTTATTAAAAGAAAAAAAATATTAAACGGTTGATATTATTACGTGAGACAAAAAATGATAGTAAATGATGAAAAGTATTTTGGAATAAAGATGAACAGATTCCACTTTTTTCTATATTTTTTTTATTTCTTTCCTTTTGTCTTCAAACTTGAGAAAACAAGTTATCTTGGAATAAAGTCGACAGAGATCAACAGATTCCACTTTTTCTATAATTTTTTATTTCTTTTTCCTTTTGTCTTCGAACTTGAGAAAACACCGAATGGGCCTTTAAACTTTAACACGTGGGCTTGTCTTGGGCTTACATGCCTTTTGATGCATTTTCCTGTCCAAAAAGTGAACTCCTCTGTTCACTAAAACCCCTCATTTTTATGAGACTTGCTAATATAGTTTCCTTTGTGAAAATATATGGTTCAACACACTCATAACAAAATGTCCAAGTGTAAAAAGATTATAAAGGTTTAGTTCATTTCACAATATTGAGTTTTGGAGTTGGGTTCAAAATGAGCCCCAAAATTTTCAAATTTGACATTGCAACCTACGTTTGATATTTGACTAGTTCACACATTTTCTTTAGAAGGTAGTGATTTTCACACTTTCATTTTATCACCTCACATTCCTTTTATATTTATCTTCAGATTGAATAAAATAGAAAAAAAATTAAAAGGTCAAATAAAAAAATGAGTGCAAAGCGAGAAAACGAGTATGTGAAATCATTATTCATCTCTAAAGCGACCTTGATATATTCTTTGTGGTATGCTTGATGGATTTTTTTTTTTTGGGGGGTTGGGGGTGGGGTCTTGAACATTGCTATGCATTATTGAATGGGGGACAACATGTAACGATGAACTCATTTCATCTAAGTCTTTCTTTTCATATTGATACATCAATATCTAACAGTCAAAACGACTGTCAACCTAACAAAAGGTGTAAATTGAATAACTTCCAAAGTGACGACTTGTAATGTGACAAAGTTATGATCTCGTGAATAGTATTCATTTTGAAATTGACCACAAACTTAAAAGGCATGTATAATACTTAATTCAACATTTAATATTGACAACTTGGTTCGATTTAGATGATAATTACAAATTTTGGCCATATTTTATTTTATAATTTCAGTCCTAAATTTAAAAAGGGTAACATATAATGGTATAATTAAATATCCACAACGAACTTTTTCTCTTGAAAATCCATAATTTTTCTCTATTATACGATAATTTATTTTATTTACGATAATTTTTTACACGTACATAACATGCTTTGATATTGTTAGATCTAACTCAGTAGGACCCATCAATATAATGATGTAACACATGAACTCAGCCCATATTGTTTGTTGGAATCGTCCATCCATGCTGTCCTAAGCATTAGCAATTGGTAGCATCCAAAGCTCTTAAGATCATTTCCCAAATAACTTTAATTTTTAGGGTGGGAGGGGCAATTCTGTCCAAAAATAGTCAAGTTGCATACAATTTGCTACCAGAAATGGACGCCAAAAATTGACACCTTTTGTCAAAATTTTCATTTCAAAATCCGCCATGAAAGTAGCTCCTCCAAATTTCTCAGCAGAACCCTAAACAAAGAAAAGGCACACCCACCACCGCAACCGCAAACTTCCATGCCCAACCTCCACAGCCACTACACTCTCCTCCCACTCAGACCCACTTCATTTCTGCTGACGAAATGGGCTCTCTCATCCCAATTTTAGACCTCAATAACCTCCCAGAATCCGCCGCCGGCTCCACCCCAAACACTACCATCTCCGCCGTATCCATGAAAGTCCCCAAAATCGAACCGAAGCTCGAACCTTTCGACGAACCACTCGATGCCCACCTGCCCCAACTGCCTCCAGAACCCTTCATTTCCACTCCTACCCCCAACTCTCTCACCAATTCCCAAATTAACCCTTTCTCCGACCAGAACCACACCCCCGTATCTGATTCCTCCGCTGCACCCTCCGACCAGGAGAATGTGTACTCGGAGTTCCATCGAATTTCCGAGCTTTTCCGAACTGCTTTTGCTAAAGGGCTCCAGAGTATCGGCGACGGCGAGGTCGAAGTATTGGACCCGGATGCGCGAGCAATTGTGCCGGTTCCTCAAGAAACCCAGATAACAGAGGCTGTCGTCGCGCGAAGGAAATACCCCAAGCGGTCCTCCGAGCTCGTCCGGGTGACCGATCTCAACATCGAGGACCAGAGGTACTTCCGTGACGTGGTGCGGAAAACCCGAATGCTTTACGACTCGATTCGGATACTGTCAGTGGCGGCGGAGGAGAAGCGGAACCCAGGAAACGGGAAGCGAGTCCGCGGCGACTTGCAGGCCGCCACAGCGCTCAGGGATCGTGGGTTGTGGCTCAATCGCGATAAAAGGATCGTGGGTTCGATTCCTGGGGTGTACGTTGGCGATCTCTTCTTTTTCCGCATGGAGTTGTGTGTGGTGGGTTTACATGGCCAAGTCCAAGCTGGCATCGACTATCTTCCAGCGAGCCAGAGCTCGAATCACGAGCCAATTGCAACCAGCATTATTGTTTCGGGTGGCTATGAGGACGACGAGGATGCTGGTGATGTGATTATCTACACCGGTCATGGAGGACAGGACAAGTTTAATAAACAATGTGCTCATCAGAAGCTGGAAGGTGGGAATTTGGCATTGGAGAGGAGCATGCATTATGGGATTGAAGTGAGAGTTATCCGAGGAATCAAATGCCAAGGTGGTATTTCACATAAGGTTTATGTTTATGATGGCTTGTATAGAATATTTGACTGTTGGTTTGATGTGGGGAAGTCGGGGTTTGGTGTTTATAAGTTTAAACTTCTGAGAATGGAAGGGCAAGGCGAGATGGGTAGCGCCATTCTTAAGTTTGCGGCTAGCCTTAGGGCCAGCCCATTGGCTGTGAGACAGTCGGGGTATCTCAGTCTGGATATTTCTAATAAGAAGGAGAATGTTCCAGTTTTTCTGTTCAATGACATTGATTCTGACCAGGATCCCATGTATTATGAATATCTTGCGGCAACTGTGTTTCCAACACAAGTATTTCATCAGTCCGGGAAGGGGACCGGGTGTGATTGTGTTGACGGTTGTTTTGGTAATTGCTTTTGTGCTTTGAAAAATGGAGGCGAGTTTGCTTATGATGACAATGGTTGTCTTTTGAGAGGGAAGCCTGTGGTTTTTGAGTGCGGGCCCTTCTGCCATTGTCCCCCAACATGCCGGAATCGTGTCACTCAAAAAGGTATGAGAAGTAGACTGGAAGTGTTTAGATCAAGGGAAACAGGTTGGGGAGTTAGGTCCTTGGACTTGATACATGCCGGTGCCTTTATATGTGAGTATACAGGGGTTATTCTCACTAGGGAAATGGCTCAAATATTTGCAATGAATGGTGATACCTTGGTTTATCCACATCGGTTTTCTGATAGATGGACAGAATGGGGAGATTTATCCCAGATATATCCTGATTATGTACGTCCAAGTTATCCTTCGATCCCACCATTGGATTTTGCTATGGATGTATCCAAAATGAGAAATGTTGCTTGTTATATGAGCCACAGTTCCACTCCGAATGTGATGGTGCAGTTTGTACTGTATGATCACAATAATTTGATGTTTCCTCATCTCATGCTGTTCGCAATGGAGAACATCCCTCCTATGAGGGAGTTGAGCCTTGACTATGGGGTGGCTACTGTGTCTGAGGCTGATGAATGGACAGGAAAACTTGCTATCTGTAACTAATTTTGATGGGGCGATGATATTAAATCATGCAGATGGTTACGGGAGTATGATATACTAAGGTAAAACCAACTCATTTCTCAGTAAAAGCATTTGTATCTTTCTTATTTTTTGGTTATACACCAGATCAGCTTGCCCTGTTCTCCCATGCTTTGTTGTAGCTCTTGTTCAAACTTCAATGTCACCTTGTCACCTATTCATTGGTGCTAGGTATGTGATTCTTTGTGCAATGATATACTCTAGTAATCATATGGTGAAGCGTACTATTCGGAGGAAGGGGCCTTTATATTTCTCTGTGCTGGAGGTGATTTGTCTTGTTACATATAAAACCTAGTCATTCTAGTCTATTTACTTAGGATTAACATTTTCCGTTTGTGTTGCTCTGGAGCCAGATTGTTCATTAATTTGTATTCTAGGGTAATATCATGATTCATGGACCATGATTCTGGCTATAAATTATACTCAGGGATTTTGGTTTATAATATTCTGAATGCTCAGGGAAAGACTTGAAAATTGTAATTTGTGATGGTTAATAAATTTACTGAAGTGAGTAAAAATAAGTTACAACTTAGAAGGAATATAGGAGGACATGAATGCTGAACTAGAACAGTTTTTCACCAACATTTAGTTTTGACTACTGCAGTGAGACACTTGAGTCTCAGATATTTCTCATATTTGTTCATGACCCAAAGGAAACAAATATTCACCACCCCCTTTTTCAGGTTAGGATAAAAGGGATTTGAACCATTGACCTAGCCTAATCCCAACCCATTTTCTGACCCTTTCTCACGACTTGGCTATCCTAACGCCAACAGAATAAAAATTTCTTATCATTAAGACAACTATTTTGGTTTGTTTTATTAAATATTTCTCTTGCCAATAAGTTTCAGCTACAAGTTTTGTCGAATGTACTTTTGCATATTCTGAACATCAAATTATGCTTTGCAAAAGGAAGACATTTGGTTTGGGATGGCTGACTTGTTTTCGATTGCTAGAAGAGTTAAATTATGTGCTTTTCAGTCCTGATTAATGGGTACTCTCTGTTGTACATTCAAACACATTAAAATAAAAATTCTGACCCCAAAATATATAGTTTTCAGTATACAATGGTCATGACACTTTTCTGGTATTTTATTTTGCTAGGGTTATAAGTCTTGGTGCTTGTAGTCATTGCCCCATTGCTTTCCATTTGAGTCTTCATGTCATTCTATTACTAATGAGCGCAGATGGAACAATATGGGTTATGGGTAGTGAGTGCACCGTCGGGTCCTCAAACCATTTGGGTTGGAGTTCATATTTGACATATGCAACCCGAGTATTGTGGCAATTTGTGGAATAAGTACCTTGAAGCAATTATAGGAGAAACTTTTAAAGAAGATAATTTTGTTAGCAAAATCTATGACTTTGTTCTTGTACTTTTTATATTTTACTATTGATGAGAAGTGCAATCAAAGGCCACATGGTATACAGTCCCCTATGTAAAATAACCGAACACTTATAAAACAACAACTTACAAACCAACCCACCCCAACCCTAAAGAGAGCGGGCCCACAGAAACTGCAATGAAAGTAATACAGTGCACTTCCCAATCCCTTGAACGGAGAAAGAAGGGGGCAGTCGCTAAATCCAAATGAAACTGAAGCCAAAGTGATGTCTAATATATAGCCTTGTCCAATGAACTTGGAATCTATTATCCTGTAAATAGGAGAAAGAAACTATTTAATTAGTGTAGTATTTCTTGAAGTGGAGTTTGGTACAGGGAAAGGGAGAAGAAATTCATGTTGAATAGATATGTGAAAGTCCAGTGAAGGGAAAATGCCATGGTTTACCTTTGAGTTATGGTTGACTTCAATAAAAGCATTAATTTGGGGACACTTTAATTTTACATTCTTTCCCTAGGAAATTGAGTTACTTTAACTGTCCTGGAATTTTAATTGATTAACAGGAAAAAATCTCGAATGCACTTCAACTGGCCCATTCAGTAATCATTAAACATCACAGGAACAATAGTGAATCATATTTCTTGCTTAAAAACATTATAGAGGCATCAGATTAGATTTAGATAGCTATAAATTGTACCTATAGAACTTCTACTTGTGCTACTTTAAGAGGTTGCAAGGTAAAGATGCAAAGTGCTTTGAAACCTGCATTACATACAATACGACTCAGGTTGTCAAGCTGATTTGGTGTTTGTATAGGGTATTTTGAAGTTTTTACTTAAGTTGTACAAAATAATTGCTAGGCTGCAGCTAAATGTAAACTTGCTAAGCGTGTATGGGAATTTGGGGAATGGGTACATGTATGGATATGCCCATATAGTAACCTTGAAAATTTGAGGAAAATATTTTTGACCGCTTCAAAATGTACCAATTAATATTCAGTTTATATTTTTCGGTTACTAGCATATTCAGTTTCTTTCATCAATGCTGTATGCTAGTTTAATATATGTGTGTGTGTGTGTGTGCGTGTGTGTGCGAGCACGCATGTGTCTCTGCATATGTAAGGAAATTCTTTCAAAAAGAATGCCTGTATTTTCTGAAACGGGTTTGATATCCACACCCCTTTTTACTTCTCACACACCCTTGTAATTTTTGGCCGTCGGATCGGATGAATTGAAGAGGATCAAGGGACAGAAATTAACAAGGGGTGTGTGAGAAGTAAAAAAGGGTGTGTGGGATAGCATACCCCTTTGTGAAAACTTCCTTGTTTGAATCACCCTGCAATTAAAATTTAATGATTCCAACCTTGCATCTTCGTTCAATGGATTACCCTTAAAAAGTTCTGTGGAATAGGAAACCGTTTAGTTATCTAAGTATTGATCAAATTAATAAATGAACACAACGTTTCTGATCGCTAACAAATTTATTATTGGGGTAGGTTTTCTTTTGTCATATACTAGTTGAACTAATAATTATTTTCTCGTTGAGATTAATGATAGCTTTTATGTGGATGAAAGTATATACAAGTTTGCTCTGTATTCCCTGTACATGACATATCAATGTCCTCGCACCTCTGCACCAACACCATAGTTTCAGATGACATCTTGTCATCTAAGTTGGCTTAACCAATGCCAAATCTGAAATTCTTGCTTGTGATATTTGCCATGTGGTAGGAAATTAGGAATCTATGTCAGAATCATATTTCTCTGTGACAAAGTCCTTACTATTAAAATTAGAGTCTGTAAAGTTCATTGCAATTAGACTAGAATACGCAATAACCTATTTGAATTTGAAATTCTTCTTGTTCATTAAAAGTGTATTTCGTTCTTGTATTTTCTTCAAAACCAATTCATTGTTTAGGTTTGTCAAGCTAGAAAATCCTCTGCAATGTCAAACTGTATATATCCATATAATCGATAACATTCAGTTGGCTGCTTTACAGACACACGCGTCTCATGCCCTTGCCTGTTCGCGTTAATAGAGAGAGACACACATGGGCACACGCATAACTTGTTCCTGGTGTATATCTTTTGCAAAGTTAGGCAGTTTATTGACTATGGATAAAGTGAGGGAGCCGTGCAAATCTTGTCATTTGAAAGAGAATTATGTGTTTGGAAGGGGAAGTTTAGTAAAGTACAATAAGTTGAGCGGCTTCCTGGAGTTCTCTTCTGTTTATTTCTGCAGTTCTATATTTATTTATTGTAAAAAATTTGAACCAAAAATTTTCAAATGGAAATTTACTCTCGGCAGAAAAATGATGCACTAAATATTGTATCTAGTGACTGTTTCTCTGCTTTTTATAGTCATAATTAGTTCATTAGATTTCTGTGTATGATACATGGTGCATACTTGAAAGCTTACCGGCCTGTGCTGCTGTGCAACTGGATTGGAAGCCATTCGGTTATATGGTCCGCATAATTTTCTGTTATCATGTTACGCAGGTGTATACATGGAAAAACAGAATACTGGATGTGTGTGGTTATTGTTGCGATTGCTTTTATAAAAATGGCATACTCAATGGTTCTTGGAGCTCTCTAATTTGTTTTCTTATTATGCAGGTGGCATTCAGACTACTAAGCTGTGTATCTGGCTTCCGAATTTTCTGGTCCATGAATGTTTCCTCACAACTAGATGCCGAAAATGTAAATTTTTCAATCAGGTTATCCAAAAGCATTGATGTGGCTCATGTACATGGCAATTGAAGTCGCGGGCTGGTAAAAAAAAAAGAGAATTGAGAACTCGCAGACCGAGCCACCAGATGCTGCTGTGATGATTTTCTCTGACGTTTTAGGCTTTCCCGGTTTCCTGGACCTTTCGGACCAAGTCTTCATACACGCAACTGATAGTAGGTGTCTTTAGGTTTGTTAAGTTTGTAAGAACAACTTGTACTGATCTTCTGTACTTGTAGCTTTGTATATGTTATCACAACCAAAATGGCTAAACTTTGTACAGAATTGTATAATTCGTGCCTACAGGTATCGCGTATGTTTGGATGGATTGGTTTTCTTTAATTCCTTGATTTATTCATTTATAATGGAGTATGATGGTGATGATTGAGGGTTTAGGGTAACAGGTAACTTGAAAGCAAGAATAAACTGCTGCACTCATAAATGATCGATACTTGAGGCAAACTGGCATGGTTGAAGAAACTACGTGCCATTGTGCTGACTAAACTGCATGTCTGAACTTAGACGTTAAAATAAGATTGCGATAATGGTTCATATTTAATCAATGCTCGTAAATACAACATTTGTAGATGTAGAGGCCCGAAATCCACCAACATATTGATGAAAGAAGAAAAGGTCACCAGACTACAAAGGTGCAATGTGCGTAAATACAACTTTTTGTATATGTAGAGGCTCGAAATCCACTGATATATTGATGAAAGAAAAAGAGGTCACCAGACTACAAGGGTGCCGGTGCTTCTTAAACTAGGTTTGATAGTTTCCTCCTTAAAAGGAAAATGATGATACAAGTGAATATATAACATAAATGATCGATACTCGAGGCAAACCGGCATGTCTGAAGAAATTACGTGTCACTGTGCTGCCTAAACTGCATGTTTGAACTTAGACGTTAAAATAAGATTGTGATAATGGTTCATATTTAACCAATGCTCATAAATACAACATTTGTAGATGCAGAGGCTCGAAATCCATTGACATATTGATGAAAGAAGAAAAGGTCACCAGACTACAAAGGTGCCGGTGCTTCTTAAACTAGGTTTGATAGTTTCCTCCTTAAAAGGAAAACGATGATACAAGCGAATATATAACATAAATGATCGATACTCAAGGCAAACTGGCATCTCTGAAGAAATTACGTGCCACTGTGCTGCCTAAACTGCATGTTTGAACTTAGACGTTAAAATAAGATTGCTATAATGGTTCATATTTAACCAATGCTCGTAAATACAACATTTGTAGATGTAGAGGCTCGAAATCCACTGACATATTGATGAAAGAAGAAAAGGTCACCAGACTACAAAGGTGCAATGCACGTAAATACAACATTCGTAAATGTAGAGGCTCGAAATCCACTGACATATTGATGAAAGAAGAAAAGGTCACCATACTACAAAGGTGCCGGTGCTTCTTAAACTAGGTTTGATAGTTTCCTCCTTAAAAGGAAAACGATGATACAAGTGAATATATAACATAAATGATTGACACTCGAGGCAAACCGGCATGTCTGAAGAAATTACGTGCCACTGTGTTGCCTAAACTGCATGTTTGAACTTAGACGTTAAAATAAGATTGCGATAATGGTTCATATTTAGCCAAATGCGCGTAAATACAACATTTGTAAATGTAGAGGCTCGAAATCCACTGACATATTGATGAAAGAAGAAAAGGTCACCATACTACAAAGGTGCCGGTGCTTCTTAAACTAGGTTTGATTGTTTCCTCCTTAAAAGGAAAACGATGATACAAGCGAATATATAACATAATACGAGTATTGCAATCGAGAGGGCTTTTGACAACATCTTTATAAGCATGACCATGACTGTCAAGTTCTTTTGGTAAACTTTTGTATCCTCATATATATAAACCTTGTTTGTTATACAATCAGAGTTGTAATATGCACATTTCGGGATGACTTGGTATCGGAATTTCAGTATGTCGTGAAGATTACTTTGTGAAGAATACGGCTCATGCTTGAGTTGCGAGTGTTCCATTTTTCTCTAGTTGACGTAGTCTTGCTCGTTCCATCTTTCGTTTACGCCACTCTTCCAGGGCTGCAGGACATTATGCAAATTGGGAAAATTAGCTCATAATAATAAACACAAGTTGACATCTGAACAAAAAAAATGCACCAAAAATGCTATGAATCTTTCTTGCACGTACTAATACTAAAGTCAGAAAAATAATTTGACCAAATTTTAATGAAGCAGCACATAGTTATAGCGTAGGCTAGTATTTACACAAGAAACCATAACCGATGTATCCATCTGCTCTAACGTTTAAAGAAGTGAAGGATGTTCGACAATTTCTCTGAGATTGGTTCACATCTAACTTAAAATGTGAGCAACTATCTGATTTTCATAAACAATTGACACACACAAATAACATACAAGAACAATAGCCCATTTCAGTGTCTCAGAATGGACAAAAAATGACATATTTTCACCTTTGACGCTGGTTGCATCATTAACAGAATGTAGATCCTTCAACCTCTTGGAAAGGCCAACTGCAACGGTCTGCCGTGCGTCGTTCTCTTTGACAGTTTCTGGTTTTGCATTTGTTTCTTGTTGGATTTCCTTCACCTGAAATAGGAAAAAAATTAAATGAACATCCAATTGTACACAAAACCATGAATTATACAAGGTTTAACTATTTGTGTGATATTGAAATTTTTTATAAACAAGAAGTTCCAATTACAATTGAAAGTGCACATAAGCATCAGACAAACAAACAGTAAGTATTGGTTCAGTTTGTACACGGGCACTCTCCGTTTCGTTTGTTACTAGCTGTAGAAGTTTATCTTAAGTAGAATTATAATCGATGCATAATAGTTCTAACACTGATTCCATACTTACTCTTTTTATCAGTTCCATGGGTCGCATAGCAAAACGAATTTCTTCAGATTCTCTTACATACCTAAGTGCAGCTGCACATACACAGGAAAAAGATTAAGGAAAACCAAGTTAAAGTCAAGAATTATCATATTAGAGCATCTGAACAAAATATCCCTTCACAGATTCATGAATTAGTATATTTAACTTTCTATAACGAACAAACCATAGTTTAACAATCACCATGGTGCTTAAATCAAAACTGGACCTTTTAATCATTCAAATATAGGTTTCATGCTATTATAATGCTTCGTTCATGAAATGCCTGCTTAAATCAAAACTGGATCTTTTAGTCATTCAAATATAGCTTTCATGCTAGTATAATGCTTCGTTCACAAAATGCCTTCACAATCACCATATTGGAGCACTTTTTCAATTAAAATTTGCTCATAATTACCCTCAGGTTAAAACCCATCCTCCAGCCCTAAACTAGGGTCATATAGATGGAAAAGGAAGATTAAGATTAAGAAATAAAACTATACTAAGTCTAAGCGAGTAAACTACGTTACACATGGTAAAAAATTCCTGCAAAGAAGTGGTTGCTTCTCTCATAGCCTCATAGGAAAAGAGTAAGACACCAGTTGCACAATTTTAATCCTAAGAGTTTAATTCAAGGCTCTTCAGTTATCAAAAACCTCTATATGGGATTTAGTTTTCAAAATTGAACTGGTCCGAATCCGAACTAGGAAGATAACCTCATGACATTGCAACTTAAGGATAAAATCCAAAAAAAAAAAAAAACCAACTGTGAACTGCACTAAATGAAAGACCTCAATCACAAAACCCTCAAGCCTAAAATACTAAATTTCAAGCACAAAAGGAACCTTCGAAGATCGACATAAAGCTGCACAACAAGATAACAATACAATTAAACCACTAAACCCCGCACTAGAAATCCTAATTCCCTAACCTCAAATGAAATGGGTCACCAATCCAATCAACAACAAGAAGCAAATGATGGGTTAGCAAGAAAAACCCATAAAATTTTCAAAAAGTGAGGAAATTTAGATGATGGGTCAGCATGATTTGCAAAGATAAAGAAAACCCATGAGCCAGATTGTAGAGAGAGAGGGAGGGAGACCTGAATTGAGGCGAGAGGCGGAGAGTTTGGAGCGAGAAGTAGCGGAGGACAGAAAGCCCTGAAGCAGTAGAAGCGCCGTGATCAGGTTGAGCAAGCACATCATTATGGTGGCGCTCCTGAACGAAAGCCTCGGCCGCCATGATTGCTGTCCCTCCATCGTTTTCTTCTTCTTCTTGATTGCTGTATCTTTTGGTAATTAGATGCTAATTGAGCTGGTATAAATTAACAGCAGCGAGAGAGAGAGACGAAGATCGACAAAGAGAGAGCGCCGTCCCCGGCATAATTTGCGACTCCAAAATTGTCCTTGTCCACTTTCACTTGATTTCTACTCAAAGGTCAAAAACACTTCCATATTAGAGGTGGGTCCTTCTGCTTTGCGAGAGAAAAATAAAAAAAACAAAACAAAATTAAGAATCAGTTTCCATCCGTCATTTAAGGCTCATTTATAAGTGTTTTTAAAATTACAAAAAACGCTTTTAGAGAAAATATACTTGGATTTTGAAAGGACTTAAAATTATTGAAATCCTAAACCCTTAAGGAGAACCAGTTATGTGCATTTTTCAGAAGTACTGTATTTTTTTTAGGATTCACTTGCGATTAGTGGCGAAGGTAGGATTTCTCTAGGATGAGGGGGGTGCGAACTTAAAAGAGTGCAAGATTAAAGAAAAATGGCAACGACTAAATCTTTTTAAAAGAGTGCAAGGACTTCTTGGAATATTTGAAGGAGGAGGACTACTCGAAATATTCGAAAGAGAAGAACTACCCAAAATGTTTCAAGGAGGATTTAAGCATTGTTTCTTATAGTATCATTCCATTACGTAACTGTAAAATGGAAAGAAAAAAAAATTCTCAGACTCTTAATCCTAGAGTACACTATACTAATATGCATAATACTAATCCAACGAACAACTCAACCATTCCAACCACTTGCATAAGCTCCAAATAATTACCCCTAATATGCATAATAACTAATACAACCAACAATTCAATTAATCAATACCAATAACTCAATAAGCATACGAATTATTCAATAAATAAAAATTCAATTCAACTAAGCATATGAATAAGAATAATTGTATATATTATGGAATAATTCAACTAATTAATCAAGAATCATGAATTCAAATTTTAATTTTCACCCTAAAAAATAATTTCATACCAATAATCATAGAATCATATCAATAATCAATAACCAATAACCATAGTAGTGCATTACCATATAATTCTATACCAATTAAAACTCATTCATATTAAATAATTAATTAGGGTTAGGGATTATAAATTTAGGAATTAAAAAATTTACCTAAAGACTTTGAAGGCTGCAAGCCGTGGCTGGAGACTGACTTGAGTGGTTGGCGGCAACTGGAGTTTGGAGAGTGGCTGGTTTTTTGTCCGTTGGCTGCCAAGTTGCTGGGAATTTGGGGGGCAAGCTTTGCCCTCTGATTGGCAAAGGCAAAGTTGAAAAAGAAAAGGGGGACATAGCTCAACAGTAGAACCAGATCACCGGAACAGGGAGAGGGTGAAAACTAGTTGAGTTTCCGATGAGGGGAGGGGCTGAACCAGCCCCCCAGGCGTATTTTTCCTTCGAGGGGAGTGGCGGCCGCCACTCCTCGCCCTCACGTGGCTTCGCTGCTGCTTGTGATTTTACTAAGGATTGATTTCATAAATATTTTCACCAAAAGCGTTTTCAGTATACTTCCAAACGATCCCTTAATCTAGGTAGTGTTATGGCACTTCAATTTTAACCTTGAAGACATCTTAAGTTTGATTCTTGTCAATACAAATTCGGACTGAACTATTATGGCTTGTCTAGTGAGGTTGAGCTCATTTTCCTATCTCCTAATCTAGATAACGTCCTATGTTTAAAAAAATGAGTTACCGTCCAAAAGGAAAATTAAGAATCAAGAAACCTAGGTCAGCTGCATTTTTGTCCTTGGAAATTTTCCGTTTTATTCTATTGTTTGTATTATTTTAAGTTGGTGATTATTTGCGTTTTTTAATACAAAATTTTAAGTTTGGATATTGGTTAGATAAGTTTCCAAATTTGAATTTAATGCTTCATTCGTATTCATTTGGATTTATTCCAAAAAAGAAGAAAAAAGAATGATGTACCATTTTTTCAATTTTTTTATGACTAACTCAAAAGGTTTTGAAAAAGTTAAGGTTTCATTGTAAAATTAATTGACAATATAGGGAGTAGTCCAACCTCTTATAAGCCCATGCAAGGTCTCACTTCTCATTGTGACTCATTCTCAGCACGCCCCCCACATGTGGTGAATTTTCAAGTCTAACACATGGACAACACAACAAGGTAACGTGGAGCACATGTGGCTGTTTGGCTTCACATGTGGGATAACCTACTCTCATACAATGGAGAAGTTGAGGTTCCACCATAAAAATCAATTGACAATATATGGAGTAGTCCAACATCTTATAAGCCTATGAAAGGCCATTCCTCTCATAAATATGAGATTCATTATCAATAGGTTTCCTATTTTTTTTTGGCTTTACATCATGTAACAATTTAGAGAGTCATACTATGTGGTAAATTACCAAACTAAATACAAAAATGTTATGATGACCCATATTCACAATCTTATCTGCTATATTTTAACTTCATGTGAACTATGTGTCACAAATGTTGAATAGTAAACTCTTTCAACAATTTAGAATATCATTGAATTATTCTTCAAAAAGATGGATCGTGTTACAAAATATAAGATGAAGGAACCTTTTGTTGAGACTTTGCAATGAGTGCAAGATTATAGATTTTTTCAGTACAGTTGGTTTATTGAAATGGTAGGAAATGGGATAGTCTTTGCATTTATCAAAGTCCCTTTATACACATAAGTTTACAGCCATAAGGAGTAAATGGTACGAAGCAAAAGTCGTCATCTCATTTTCTATTTCATCTTTTTAGTACTTTCCTACCTAAAATCTTGATGGTGTCATCAAAATCAATGTGACTGTTTGTTTTTTCATGTATTTCTATGTGAGAATTCACATTAATTTCACGATGGATCATTTGTTGTTTTTAGCAAATTGAACCAATAAAACAAAGGAAAAACCTTGCACTATTGGAATTGAGGGAGTAATTATGTACTCCCCTTTGGTCGAATTGAATTGTAGAATTAACTTAAAAATATTTATAATAAAAACGAAAAACGTGAGCGGCAGGATTCGAACCTGCGCGGGCAAAGCCCACATGATTTCTAATCATGCCCGATAACCACTCCGGCACGCTCACTATGACGATGCTGAAACTCCAAATTTAGAGTAATTATAGCAATGGTTTCTCAACTTTAATCAAATTGACCAAATGATTTCTCAACTAAAAATCCCTTACCATTGATCCCTAACTTATTAAAATGTGTATCTATAGTCATTTTTATTAACTTTATTAGAATTTTGTCAAAATAAGTTATGTTGGAAGGATCATTGCTACAATTGAAATCCCTTAACTCATCAAAACGTGTAGCTATGATCATTTTAGTCAATTTTGTCATAGTTTTGTCAAAATGAATTATGTTGAAAGGACCATTGTTATACTTGAGTTAAAGTTGAGGGATCATTTTTCTAGTTGGATTAAAGTTAAGAGACCAATAGTAATGAATTTTTAGTTAAGGAACCATAGTTGCATGTTTTAATGTATTAAGAAACCAATAATAATAAATTTTTAGTTGAGGAATTATTGATCAAATTAAGTTAAAGTTAAGGACTATTGCTACCGTTTACTCCCAAATTTATGTTAATTTACTGTACATGCTTCTCGATAACCCGTGTTTCAAGTTTCAACTTCCAGTTTCATATCCCAGCTCCTCTTCTCCCACCACATGAACCTGTGGTACCCACTCCACTCCTCCTCAGTCACTTCTCCCCATCCGCCATTGTTGCGGCCTGACCTCTCTTAATGTAAGAACACCCCTTTTTCCGTTTTTTGTTGTTTTCTTGGGATAATTGTGATGCCCACCAGCTGTTTGACGGATTGTCTCAGTTGGAAAATCTTGTTTTTTGGGTGATATTGGAAGTGGGTTTTGTGTTTCTGTTTGTATTTGATTGATTAAATTGGATTACGATGTGTTTTGATTCAAATATATTGTTCGAATAGGCGAATGACACGTTTAGAAACTTAGGATTAAATATTCTCTCTGAAAAATATCATTCAATTGTAGCTGTTTCAATTAACTTACACTCATAATCTTGTTTTTCGACTAATCCATGCATTTCATAATGTTTGGGAAGACAGCCTCTGCATTGTTTGATATCCAACTGGATTACGAAGATGGCTTCCATGATCTTTAGAAGCCTTCACACGAACCCTTGTTTGCTCCATCGAACTGCATTGCTTAGAAGAAAAATGTCTTTTTGTATTGCACAATGAGGAGCGCACAAACCCAGACGGCCACCACACAAGAAAAGGTTAAGTCACAAGTGAAAGTAGCACCGAATATTCAGAACAAAACACTTGAGAAAGCCTCAAAGGACTATGAAGCTGTCATAGGTATAGAAACTCATGTCCAGCTCAACACTCTTACCAAGGCCTTTTGTAGTTGTCCTTATAATTATGGTTCTCCACCAAACACCAGTTTCTGCCCCATATGTATGGGTCTGCCTGGTGCTTTACCGGTTTTGAACATGAAGGTCATTGAGTCTTCTGTTAAAGTGGGACTTTCACTCAATTGCAAAATGTCATTCAACTCAAAGTTTGATAGGAAACAGTACTTTTACCTGGACCTTCCGAAGGGTTACCAAATATCACAGTTTGATGTTCCAATTGCCACTGGTGGCTAGATCGATGTGGATCTTCCACTAGAGTTTGGTGGTGGGCATAGAAAGTTTGGCATTACAAGAGTTCACGTGGAAGAGGATGCAGGGAAGCTGCTTCATTCAGAAGGTGGACGTTACTCACAGGAAAGTGCCTTTCCTTTCATACTTTTCCATCAGCATTGTTCTACTTCTTATAAGTTATAAAAGAGTGAACTACATTCTGGTTTTGTTTCTATAGTTTCTAAATGTCAGGGTGATGGTGCTATTTATCTTGTTTTGTTTGTGCCTTTGCGGACTTCTTGTCCGTGCTTATATTTTTATTGTTTCTTCTTCTTGGAAAAAAAAACTACATTCTGGTTTTATTCTCTGTGAAATTTCTTTGTTTCCTATTTTCTTCTATTTGTTTAACTACTTTAAAGGCTTAATTAGATTAGTATAGTGTTATGAATTCTGCAAAAATATGTCCTTTGAAATTTACTTTGGAATAACAATAACTATTTATGTATGTATAGTAATCTACTTGTCATCAGTTATGTAAGATTGTCAGAGGCTGAGGTTAACGCTATTAGCCTATCACTTTTCTGAATACTTTTTGTTTATTTCTTGCAGGTTGATTTAAACAGAGCCGGGGTGCCCTTGCTTGAGATTATTTCTGAACCTGATATGAGAACTGGTATTGAAGCTGCAGAATATGCTGCAGAATTACAGAGGTTGGTTCGGTACTTGGGAGTGAGTAATGGGAATATGCAAGAGGGTTCACTTCGTTGTGATATGAATGTCTCTGTTCGACCAATTGGGCAAATAAAGTTTGGGACAAAGGTATCTTACTTCACGTTTTCTGATTCTTAGCAACTATAAATCTGGTATAAAGAGGAACATGGAAAAAAAGAGATACCAAAATGTCATAACTTCAGCTGTGGCAAATAATTAAAATTGTTAACCTGGTAGGTTCTTGGAATAAAATAGAATTTGTTCTTTGCAAATAATCAGGTAATTTTATCACATTTTAATGGAATTGCCGATTCTTTTAGAAAAAGTTAATGGTATTGGTACTTCTCAATGCATTCTCAAATTAAAGAAACATTATTGCTAAAAGTTTCCTGCATTGAAGAATATCCATAGAGTGTTATTCTTTTTTATTCTCTGGTGACATTTTCTCAGAAAGGAAGCATTTTTGTGTTTGACAAAGATCTTACCTGAATGACATAATGAGATATGAAAAATAGATTTTTTTTACATAAAGAGATGCATTATTAAATAGGTTATATGCAGCTTTTATGTCATAACTGTCAAAGTCATAGCCTTGGGATTAGAAATCCACAGTTATAGCACATACACGCCCACTCACGATAAGAAAGACAGATTGGAAGAAAGAAAAACGTTACAATATAAATCGAAAGTAATGTGTGCTTTTCTATTTGACCAACTTTTGCTGCAGTACAATTATATATTATTTTCAGCTACTGATATAATTCTTCCTATTACATATTGGCAGGTGGAGATAAAAAATTTGAATTCGTTTTCATCTGTGAGCAGGGCAATAGATTCTGAAATCTCCAGGCAGGTGCTTCTTCATAGTCAAGGCCAGAACAAAGAAATTGTACAGGAAACTCGTCTATGGGAAGAAGGAGCTCAGGTGATAGTACCTTTATCATCCTTCCTTATTGTGTAAAACGTTCCTTTGTGTCCAGCTACATGCTCTGTTAACTTTATTGTGCTGTTCAGAAAACAGTTACAATGAGAAGGAAAGAAGGACTTGCTGACTACAGATATTTCCCAGAACCAGACCTTCCAGGAGTTTTCCTCACCCATGACTATGTTGATGGTATTCGTAATACATTGCCTGAACTTCCAGAAATGAAGCGTCGGAGATATGAAAAGATGGGTCTGAGCATGCAGGATGTTCTTTTTCTTACAAACGACGTAAAAGTACGATCTCTGTATTATTGTTCTGAATGCTTGCTCTGTGTGGGAGTTGCTCTATATTTCTAGAATTTGAGAGTTAAAGGAACAAACAGAAGTAGAAATTATGACCGAAACTAAAGAAGTAGAAATTATGCATGCTTGCTCTCTCTGGGAGTTGCTCTAAATTCCCAAGGTCATGTAATTCACACAAAGTAAGAAAGAAAGAACAAAAGAAAAGTTAATGTTCACTTGCTATGCTAACAATTGTACATGCCGAGCTTGATGGACTGGCCATTTTTCTCTTGAGTGTCTTATCAATCTCTTACTGTGTGTTTGAGCCAGATGTTTTTAGTGTCAGTGGATGTTTCCCTAAGAAATTACTTCAAGAAAAGCCTTTTGGTCAGTCATTTCATCCATTCAATGTTCAAGTACAAATGGTTGATGATCTAAATGGCATAATATGCATGCCTATTATTTTTGTTTTCATCTTAAATAATGGCATCATATTTTATATGTGAATTGGGGCTGATTGCTTTATGTATACCTTAGGTTGCAGAGTTTTTTGATACTACTATTACAAAGGGTGCCGATGTGAAGCTAGCTACCAACTGGATAATGGGTGATGTTGCTGCCTATATGAAAAATGAAAAATTGACCATCAATGAGATTAAGCTTAGCCCCCAAGAGTTGGCTGAGTTAATAGCTTCCATTAAAGATGAGACTATTAGTGGGAAAATAGGAAAAGAGGTAACTGGTTTTCTTTTCTTCTTTCAGACTACATTTGCAATTTTATGTATTTCTAAGATCAATGGAATTTGCAGATACTGTTTGAGCTTCTAGCCAAGGGTGGTACTGTGAGGGGACTGATTGAAGAAAAAGATTTAGTTCAGGCAAGTTCACTTTATTTCCAGGCTTGTAATTTTTAAATGTTCAAATGTGTGAGATGTTGGAGAATAGAATCCCACAACGGTTATATGACACAATAATATACAATTATTATATCGGAGTTTCCACCCCTAATATCACCAATGCCTTTTGTGATAGAACCCAACACCTAATATTAATAATAGGTGGTTAAGTTGGAACAATATTGGTGATATTGGTAGTGGACCAAGCTGGCCTATAAAGTTGGTCATGAGATGTAATTCTTTCTTATAAATGTCTATTTTTTCTGTCTGATTATAATTGTCTGTCGCGGCTGTAATTTTATCTGATTCTCTGATCCAATGCTATATTAAAAATGTGCCGAAGGTTGAGCACCTTCTCAAGTATCTTGTGCCTTGGCCTAATATAGCATTCATTCCTTTTTTGTGTCAAATTCAATACCTATCACCACAATGTTTCTAAAAATAACAGTGTCGTCTGGACTCTGGATTATTTCCCGCTTACCAAATTGGTAAAATTGGTGGTGGTGTATCTTATTTTTGGATGTTTCGCAGATGTTATATAGTTTCAGAAGTCAAAGACATTATTTTGATTTCTTTATGTGCTCCCTACTTTATGCGAGTTAAAAAGTTAGGATAACAATGGAGATCCAATTCTCTATTTTTTTTCAAATACAATATGAATCATGTGACCCTAAAATAACTGATTGATCCTACTAATTTGTCTAAGTTTCCAATTAGAGTAAATACGTTAGATGATATCATATAGAATTTATGCACTGCTGCAGCCAATAACAGTGAAATAAAATCATCTTATGATGATAATATCGTATAGAATTTTGTAACAAATTAAAAATTCTCTAATGACTTGGGTTTGTAACAGATAGTAGATCCTGCTGAGATTGAACAAATGGTAGAAAAGGTGGTGTCAGAGAATCCAAAGCAGCTGGAACAATATCGTGGTGGAAAAACTAAACTGCAGGATTATTTTGCCGGGCAGGTAAAATTTTATCAAACTGTAATCCATATGCTCAGTTTTCTATTCATGATTAAGCTATTGATAATGTTTCATAAGTTGAGTGATATGGTTTTGAACATTTTAACTCTTTGCAGGTAATGAAACTATCAAAAGGAAATGCAAATCCAGGGCTCCTGAACAAGATTCTTTTAGAGAAATTAAACGCCAAAAGCTGATAAAGGTCTAGATGATGCAATATTGTGGCCACCAATGGCAAACCAGCATTGCTGAATACTGAAAGCATTTCGACATTTGTTGCTTGAATTATGTCTTGCCTGCTGTAGAAGCATATCTTGACTTTGACGTGTTTGTGGTCACTTCTGAGTTCTGAACCAGCATTCAGCAGCTGTTTGAGATTTGACCTGCCATATCTGAATTATGGATCAAGAGTATCTAGAGCTTGAAGAAACGATTTGCCTCTAATTTTATACTTCCTGCTGCAGTTTGATTGCTCTACAAGCTAAAAAGCTGGATGGAGAGATTGAATTATAAACTCAGCTTCTTCCGGTACATAATTCATTTTCCAGAATTCAAGCTCTTAATTTTGGTGTTCAAAGATTCATTTGTACTTAAAAGAAATGAGATCAATTACATAACACATACATTTTGTGTACTATCAACCGCTCACCATGGATTAGGAACTATTCAAAAGGGTGGCGGATTTACTCTCCACTTCCGAAATTCATAAATTGGCTTCACAACTTTGTTAGCTATGTTGTATACTCCCACATCGTGACCACCATAATCATAGTGGCTTCAAAATTCTCCATGTCTTCCGCTTCTGTAACTGAGGCGGGCGTGGGTAGGAAGAAACAAAAGGCTTCTAGTAAGTGGATTTTGTTTCAACCTTCCCTTCTTACTTGCATTTTGTGTTTAAGAGCTAACAACCTTATTTTCCTTGAATCTAGGACCTCAAGCAACCAAAAAGCCGACCGTTGTTTCAAGGGAGGATCTTCTGGAGGCCGAGATGTATCAAAAGGCCAAGGATCTGCAAGATTCCACTCTTAAAGCTCTGGAGGTATGGCTTACCTCTAAAGTTTACTTTTTTGAGTTTTCCCTTCATCTTTTTTACTCTCTTCTTGACTCGTTGCCTGATTTCTAAAACAGGCCATAAGGGAAGAAAGGATTTCTCTGCCTAAGGCCTTTTTACCCCCAGCCCGAATAGTACAAGATTCTCCTCCTCGGGCTAAGTCTTCAAAGGTATATCTCTTTTTCATTCTTCAGACTTGTATCTTTGCCAATCTTGGAGTTTTAACACTTGTCTTTCACTTTTGTAGGCTAAGGTTGGAGAATCCGCTTCTCAGGTTGGGCATGATTCTTCTTCTATTCTTTCAACCTCTCCTCTCTTAGTGGTGACTCCTACTTCTCAATTTGACCCGTCAACTGGGGAGATGCTGTACTTTGTGGAAGACAACAGTAATTCGGTGAGCATTTTGATTTTGACACTTGTATGTTTAAAGTCTTCTCTTTTCATACTTATTCTCCCTTGCTTCTCCCAGTCCACCCTAACACAAGAGTCTCGCCAACCAACAGCAACAACCTTCGGGGAGCCCATAGTCCTTGAGATCCCCGTGGTCTCATAGGTAACTAGCCTGCGAGTTTCTTGGGCAGCTTCTCCTGATGTAGTTGTTGCGTTTGAAGTGCCCATCTCTTAACCTCAAGTATATTATTATTTAAACTTTTGCTTCTTTTTTTTTTTTTTTTTTTTTTTTTTTTTTCTTGTGTAAACTATTTTCCTAGCACTTGTCGTTTTTTATGCCTATAGGGTTTTGGTGAGGGTTCGGGTATTATCCCTCCTTTTCCCATAAGCAAAGATGATCATTCTTAATAACCAAGTGTCCTTACTCCTCCTCCTTCTTTTAAGGCTTCAGGCTCTACTTAGGTAAACTACTTTCCTCATCTTTTGTTTTCTTTTTAACTTTGGTTCGAGGGCCACCTTCTTACTTTTTTTTTCTTGGCTTGTGACAGGGTTTTGGAGAAGGCTTGGACGGATATCCTCCACTTTTGGTGGGCAAGGCAGATCTTCTAAGGACTCCCCTGACCTCTGGGGTAAAGGGGATTCCCATTCCTCATCCTAAGAAGAAGGTCAAAGTTGCTGCTGCTCCTATTACTACTCCTGCTCCTGAGATTCTTCCTCCTCCGTCAATTGGAACTGTCCCTCCTCTTATTACTGAAGAGATGCTCCCAACCCTATCAATAGCATCATTGCTCGAACTTGCTTCTCATTGAAGTTTTACCAATACTAATTTAACTCCAATCCCTTTCAACCTGCTTAAGCTTCCTTAATATAACAATCTCTCACATCCCATAAGGCCGGATGATATTTCTTTAAAAACTTAGCACTAACTGGATGTTTTTGCAAGTTTCCCTCCAAATCTATCAAGTAATATGCTCCTATCTAGTGCTTGGTGAATAATAAAAGGACTTTCCCAAGTAGGACTCCATTTCCCAAAGCCTTTTACTTGAGCTTCTAAAGGCAAAATTGCTTTCCAAACTAATTCTCATTTCTTGAAGTTTTTCAACCTCACTTTCTTATTGTATACTCGGGCAATAACTTTCTCCCTTTCTTGAATTTCTCTCTTTTCCATACACCAACAATCTTTTGATTAAGGACCTGACTGCAACTACTTAGTCTTTTATTCTTTGTTCTGACATTACTGGTGTTGGGGAGTCGAGACAATGTGGGGCTTATCCCATTCTTCCTTGGTGAGGAATAACCCTTGTTCCAGAAGCTTTTAGGTTGTCACCTTAGTTGGGCGACTGTTCTCATTAACTCCTAATCACTGGAGAATCCCAATACTAGGATTATAAAAGTTGGCTTTTGCCACATTGGCTGTGGGAAGGAATGGTTGTGACTCGGCCTCCACCATCTCCCAAAATCCTGGTCTCATGGCTCATTCTTCATGGTAAATTGCTACTTGTTGGTGCAGGGTGGAAGGCACAGAGAAGCTCTGATGAATCTAATCTCGGCCTAGTAAAGCTTCATAGATGGAAGTACTATCCATAACGAAGAAAGCTAGCATGATTTGCTTGGAGCCTAAGTCAACCTCCAGGGCCAATATCCCATGAGTTTTGGTGATGGCCCCAGAGAAACTGGAAACTGTTAGATTTGTGGGGATAAGATCCTCCTCACTTCTATACACCATTTTCATTTGCTTATATGGTAACACATTGACCGCAGTTCTTCCATCAATCAAAACCCTCTAGAAGGGTACCCGCTCCAGATGAGCAGTTACATATATAGGCTTGAGATGGTTAGCTAGAGCCAAGGTCAGTCGAATGAAGGCTATTCTGTTTGTGTACACTCTCCCGAGCTCTTTCTTTGTGGGCTCGGGCAAACCTACGCTGCCCGACTCTTCTTTTCCCGCTTCTTCAACACTAACATATGTCATCATAGGTTATATTGCCAAGTAATCACCTTTCGTTATGGCAGGTTGATCCAGCTCGGCGCAAAACATGGCAGATAAAACATTTCTCATGTTTACATGGAATTTGCTAGGTTCAAGTAAGTCTTCCTTCTTGCCTCCAATGTGGTCGATGAATTCATCTAACCAGGCCTGTGCCTCTTTGGGTAACATTAGTTCGGGTAACGCTTTCTCCTGAGTTATGCCAAAGTTTGGCATTTGTCCTGGAACTTCACAAAGAGTATCAACCAACAATGGTGAAGGCATTCTTTTTTCAGGCGAGATAGTTCCAAAACATATTGGCTCTAGGCTTCATCTTGGTGTTGGCATCATTACCATGTTTTCCTGAGCTTTCCTTAAGATTCTATACTTCCCAAGATGAGGGTTTTGTGGCACATGATCTCATTCCCCCTCTGTTTTGCTATTTGCATTTTCTACCTCTTTTTTGGTTCTCCAATGAAGTTGATTTCTCCCCCATGAGGTACTTTCTCAAACTTCACGTTCTCAAAGGTTTCTTAGGCTGCAGAGACTTTTAGTGAGTTCATGTGGGCTTTGTGCTGCCTCTCAACTCTCCTGATCATAGAGGCTTCTATTTCTTTGACGGGCTTTCCATCTTTTCCAACCATGTACCATTTCTGCTCGAGTCAGGCAGGATTTTTCTTCATGATTAGATACACTATCCTCTCCTTTATCTGACATCTCCACCGACATAGCTTGGCTGGGGTGGGCTTACCTCCAGCCATTTTGGTATTTTGGCTTCTCTATCTTCCCCTGCTTCAGAGGCTTCATAATTTTTGAATACCTCTAACAAGCATTTTGGTTGAGAATCTCATCCCAATCGTTGGAAAACATTTATGGATGTCAGCTGCCCGCATAATGCTCATACAGGCTTCTCGTTCTTCTTTCTCTGTTTTTTTTTATCAATTCTTGATCAATAATATCTCTTGATGTTGGTACCTCTAACTCACATTCACATTGGCACTTGCTACACAACACTAGCCCTTTGACTATGGATGTTTTAGGTTTCTCAGGCAACTTGATAGTTCCTTCTATTGGTCTATCATTTGGTCACCTTTCAGCCTTTACTTCTCAGGTAGCTTTCCCTTTCTCTTTTCTACCCAAGTTTTTTCTGTTTCCCTTTTTCAGCCTAACTCAAGTTGATCATGTTAATTAGGGCTTCTGGGAAGGGATTTGTGTCAATCATCATATTAGCCTGGGGTTTCTCCAACAACAACTTTCCCTTGACTATGAGGTCTTGTATCCAATCCCTGAACTGGACACAGTTGGCTACAAAGTGGTTAAAGGTGTAGTGCAGCTTGCAATATTTATTTCCTCTCAATTCTTCGGGCTTGGGTAGTTTTTTAGTGCTGTCGGGCACAATTACTCTGACCCGCACCAAGTCTTCATAGATCTTCGAGGCCTTGGTTATATTGAAAGAGTAACTCTGGTATTTAGGGGGGCTTCATAGGGACAAATCCACCATCATTTATCACCACTTTCTGATCCTTGACTAATTGAACTAACCCCTTCACTATTAAAGGTTTAAAGGGGGTAGTCATCTCTGCCGCACACATGTACATCCCTTTTCTCTCATGGTCATCATTTTCTTCAGGTTCTGCTTCTTTGAACTCCACTTGGTGGATTGCGGTTTTACTTTTGTAGAAATGAGGCACCTTAGATGAGTGTTTCATTTGTTGTTCTTCAAGCAACAACTTCTCATACTCTGTGGCAGCAATCACCAACTCTTGCAACTCATTGAATTATATATCATAAAACCTTTTCCTTAAAGGCAGCCTCAAAGCCTTTTAAGCAATGGATATAAGTTGGGCATGATTGATATGGAATTGGCACCTCATTCTTGTCATTATAAACCTCATCATGAAGTCCTCTGTAGACTTATGTTCATATTGCTTCACCTCTACTAAGTCATTGATAAACATTTTGGGCTCTATCCTATAGAACTGTAAATGGAAAGCCATCTCCATTTGCCCCTAGTTAGAAATAGAATTAGGGGGCAGAAGAGAGTACCAATGAAATGCTAGACCTACCAACGAGTTCCCAAAAATGTGATCTCTAGAGGATACACTGTCATTTTCTCCACTAAAAGTGGGGAACGCAGGCATCTTGAAGTTGAATGGAAATGGCTTATGCTCATCGATATGCTTGAGATATGGCTTCTGGTAGGTGATCATGAACAACGGGCAAGCCTGAGGTTGAGCATTCTGGACCACCATCCTCCTTAACTCAGCGAACTCATTTCTAAGTTGCTGGTTGGCTGTATTATCATGTGGGGTATGAGGAGGTTCCCACTTCGGGCTACAATCGTTGCCCGAGAAAGTCTCATTCCTTGGTTCGGGCTTCTTCCATTTGGACCTTCCTTCCTTATTAGCCAATAGTGGTGGCCTATAAGGAGGAGGCTTGCCTGCCTTGGTAGGCTCGCCTTTTCCACTGGATTCTCCGATTACTTCGTTTTTTCTTGCCTGCTTTGCCCCTACTATCTAATGAAAATAATAAGGGGTCGAGTAACTCTGCTTTTAAGATCTCTTCCAACACTGGCTGACTGGTTCCAGATCCTTCCTTGTTTTTTCCTTTATCTCTCTTTTCCTCAAGCAAAGGAAATAGGGGGATAACTGGTCCTTTATTAGGGCTTGCTTCTCTTATCACTTCCCAGGAATAACCATATTTTGGAGTAGAGTACTCCAGATCTAATCTTTTTTGCGAACTTCTTGTTAAAGAATAGAGTCTGCTTACTTCTCCTTTGGTTTCTAGAGTGATATTCTCCATACTTTTCAGCACTTGTACCCTGGTGGCTTGCAAATCTTCATTGATTACTTTCCTGCCCGACTTCTTGGATGAAGTTGGGCTTTCTAGAATAGCTGGTCCTTGGAGGGAAGAAAAATCCTCTGGATGATTTGTCATGCTCGATCTTGGTAGATGCTAAGGTGGCCCGTATTCTGTATTCCAACTAAAGGTTTTCTCCTTCCTTCTTCTTCTTGGCATACAAGACTACGAAAATCCCACCAGGCGTGCCAAAACTATGTTTAGGCGAAGATTTCTCTGGAAAGGGCTCTTCGGACCTCAGCAGAGCTCCCCAAGGGATTGACACTTTGGATGTGTAGTTAGGCTCTTGCTTGTTGATGTGCTACAAGAAGAGGACAAAGTTAGTTCTAAAAGGTGCCTTTGTAAGGCCTTAGGTGTAGGCCATGAGGTTCGCAATCAAAACTAACTGAGTGCTAGGCATGCCACTGCTATCTCAGTATAACAAATGTAGAACAAGTGTGTTTAGTTGATTACTTACGCCTCAAGTTACTCGGACTTCTTATTATCAAAGGATTGTTGTGGATAGGTTAAGTCCACATTAAGTTCTTTTTCTTGCATTGTAAAGAAGGACTTTTAGTTCATAGTCTTGTATGTTCGAATGAAGGGAGTCCAGATCTCCTTTAAGTTATTTGTTTGGTCCTAAATTGCTTTTAATGGAGACATATTCATTTAAACTAACCAGATCCAGATACAAATAAGACTCTTAAAGTAGGAAAACAGGTGGATATGACTTGAATACACAGTGAAGAATACATTAAGTAATAGATCTATTAGCTTAGAAAGCAAACAAAGAGCCTCGGGCAAGTTTCACCTTGTTTGGCAAGTTTGAACTTCTTGCAGTCACTTTTCTTTGAGATTACAAGGTTTATATGCTAAAAAAGGGATGGATGGTAAACAAGTTTACACAAGGGAATCGATACTACGCCACTAAGGGAGGTAATAGAGTTTTAAATTGGACAAGAGATAGCTTGTCGCTAAAAAGATATAAGATCTGGGCCGATTACAACTTTTGGATGCCAATCTGGCTAGAGAGCAGAGTTTGTATGTTTGTTTGATTAATTGAGTGTCTTTGTCTCTGAGGCCTCTTCCTCCTTTTAGAGGCGATTTAGCCTGACTATTGTAGCTTTTTTCTACCCGAAAGCACTTACAGGGTAGTATGTCATCAGCTTTTTACTTGGAATGCCACTAGAAAGTGTTCTTTGGCTGGTAGTAAGTTAGTTTCCATCATTTGTCACTTTAATTGTAGGCAAATGGCTTACATTTGGCTGAGAAAGCTTCAATCTGCCTTTGGGCTCGGTGCTGGGCTTTGGATAAGTCTCCTTTAATTAGGTAATCATGGGCTTTTCTTCATCTAAGTCCAATGTTCAAATATTAACCCAAACACAGGTTGCATTAGGAAATTAGTTAATTCCGGGTATCCTACTATAATTACTAATCATTTTAGGCAAGCTATATATATCAATGCCCTAGCTACTCAACTACCATAATCCATAAACCTAGCTACGTACTCAAGTCGAAACCCTACCTAGCTACTTAAAACCCCATACACCATGGATCTCATTCGACGTCGACAACTAAAGTCCTTGGCCTCTTTCTCCGATCACCGCATGTGTTTCTTTCTGCCCTTCTATCCTCCTGAACTCATAGCCGTTGCCAACTACTCTTCCGCTTCAATCTTTATCGCCGAACTCGAGACACTCGAACTCCTCGGCCAAGCTAATGGTAGCAAGGTCTACTAGGTTCGTCACAAGTGACTTCCACCACTTACGCTCTCAAACTCGTCAACAGTGACTCAGAGCCCACTGTCCTGTGTAATCTCTTTTGCGAGATTGAAATCTTTCACCGCACCGACTCTCTCCACATTGTCTGCTGTAAAGCCTTATTTGAACAGCTCTTGGGAGACATCAAGATCCTTATGGAGTTCATGGACTCGGGCACCCTCGAAACTTTACTCATAGACAATGGCGCGTTCTCTGAGGCCAAGCTTGCCCATGTGCCACGTCAAGTTCAATGACCAGAACTATCTCCACACGCACAACATCACTCATCGTGCCAATCTTTTGGTGAACAGTAACATGGAAGTGAAGATCCCCGACTTTGGCGTAAGCAAGATCATTCCCTTAACCTCCTATGATGCCTGTAGTTCTCCCGTCGGTACTTGCGCACATAAACCCTGAAAGATTCAACAAGGAGAACTACGGTGGCAGTTACAATGGCTACACCAGTGACATATGTAGTTTCGGCTCACCATCATAGAGCTTTACGTGGGTCACTATCCGCTGTTTCCCCCAAGTTAGAGTCCCGACTAGCTGTCCCTCATGTTGGCTATATGTTTCGGAGAGCCATCGAGTTTGCCTGTTGGCGTTTCACACGGGTTGAAGAGTTTTATTGGGGCTTGCTTGCAGAAGGAAGTTGGAAGAAGGTGGACAGCCGGTTAGTTGTTGAGGCATCCCTTCGTCACCGATCTTTCTTTTTGAACGTTAGTTTCTTATGTAGTGTTGTACATTGATTGATTGATTTCCACGGAAAATCGAAATGCGATGAAAAATTAATTTTTATATTCCCATTCTTTTCTCATGCAATTTTAGGAAAAAAAAAAAAAATGTTGAATCAAATTACTCGGCAGTTTGCACTCAAATTTAAATTATTTCGTAGATAAAAGACTACTTTCAATTGTTTTGTGGAAAACAGGGTGACTAGAGAAAAAAAGTATAGAAGGAAAAAAATAGATAAAATGTGAATGTCTTCCCGAAAATACAATCGAAGCATGACTAATGCAGTTTTTGCAGACTCTCAAGGAACTTTAGGAGCTTTTTTCTTGCCAAAACAATGTGGCACTTGACACTTGTTATGAATAAGAGGTTGAAACAATTTTATGGCACTTTATGAGAGAAAAAAAATAGAAAAGAAGAAAGAATGTAACCCTTGCATGAGGACTGTTACACTGATACAGTATAACCAGTTAGCTTTGCCAACACTACTACATTTAAAAGCTACCGTGACGAAATGAATGCTGTTTCACAGAGAAGAATTTTGGCGTCCAAAAAATTGCAATCAAAGCTTCGTTGCCATCATGTCATCGCGCAAAGCTCATGAAGTTAGGGTTTGCATGACGAAGACATGGAAATTTGTCTCGCAAACACTTTTGCGTGACGAAAGTGATATTCGTCGCACTAAGTTTGAAGGGATGAAGGCCTTCGTGGCATAAGATTTCGAACCATGAAGGATTGTTAGTTGCACTAAGTTTTAAGGGACAAAGCCCTTTGTGGCGCAAGATTTAGAACTACAAAATATGTTGTTGCATTGAAATAATGGCAACGAAAACGTTTCCTTAGGTATGTATACTTGCGCGACGAATACTATTGTAGTCCAAATATTAGTGCAAGGACATTTTATTATTTTCCAATAATTTTAAAAGTATTAAATTATAAGTAATTTGTCGTTTAGTATTTTGCACAATGAATTATTTCCTTTCCTTTACTTTAGTGCTACGAAGGTTTGTCGTTGCGCAAACTGTTTTTGATATACATATTTTTTAATTGTTTATAATTTATTTTTAACAAATAGTTGATATTTAATTTGAATTAGCACAATTAAAATTTATTTAATAAATAAATAAGAAAATGCACGTACAACATGGAAATTTTTAAAAATTCAAAAATAGAAAGAAAAAAAACTACAAATCAAAATAGTCCAGGTCAGCTTCGACGGTTAGCTCTGTATGTACTGGGTTGAGGGGCTGCTGGGAGGTCGAAGATGCAGTTGGTGCAGGGAATAGGGAGCTGGACAACAGAAAAGCTTCTATGATTTGGGTTATCCTAGTCTTTTAGGCCGCAATGTGGGCATCCTAGGCCTTAATATGGGCAGTCTAGGCCGCTAGCAGCTACTGTAGGTTCGCAACTTGCGATGTCAACGTTGCGACATGTCCGTGCTCGTGCTCGGACTGTACTGACTATTTCTGTCGGATAGGATAAATAACCACCGGATAGTACTGACTAAATTAGTCGGGTGTTTGGTGCAGTATCGGACTAATGACCGTATTATTTATACTGTGTTTGATATTATACTAAATAGGAGGCATCAAACTTTAAAAAAAAAAAATTTTAAAAAATGAAATCATTTTTTTGTTCCCAGGTCTCTCCGCACTCCCCAAACACCTTCCCTCTCTCTCCCTTCTTCTTCCCCGACGATAGAAGAATCCCAAATAATTGTTCCCCAGCTCTCTCCGCCACACCCCCCAAACTCCCTCCGTTTCTCTCCCATATTCTTCTTCCCCGACTAAATAATCCGGACGTTTTGGTTGGTTTTATTAAGCGGATGTATACCGTATTATCCTATCCGACCGGTTAAATTAATCTGGTGCTTATTTAGTACGAGTGAACGCCAAACACCCGGGTCCGTATAACTAATCCTATCCGATCCTTTATCCGATCTGCCAAACAGGGCCATGTCCTGATAAAGTTTCCCTAGCCTACGACTGAGGCTCTGATCAAGGGTGTTTGACATGATGTGAAGACACGCATCCTGGGCGGGAACAATGATTTGGTCATGTATGGTTTGTCGAGCAAAGTTGGTCTACACATTTTTGCTTTTACCCGATAATTTTTTATATTCATCAGGCAAAATTGTGCACAACAAGCTTTGCATGACGAACTTTTCTCGATGAAGTTTTATCGACCAAAACATAAGGCGAAGAAATGTCATTTTGCCCAACTAATTTCTTTCGTTTGAAAGAATGAGATGAAAGAGCATCAAAAGACAGTTTAAAAGAAAATAAAATCGAGAGGCAAATCAAGGAGGTCAAGAACATAATTTTGTTAAACAACAAAAAAAATTGATTAGAAATGGTTAAAAAGTAAAACAAGAGAAGTAATTTGGAAAAAAAGTAAATAATATAAGTAATAATTATTTGGTTAAAATCTAAAATATTAATTAGGAGTGCTGATAAATTCACTCCTCTATCTTATCTCCCTATTCACTTTTTAATAAAAATTTTAATACCAATTTTATTCTCTTGTAAAATGACATTGCACAAACAAAGAAAAAAAAATAAAGAAAAAAATGTTTATCTTCTCTATTCCCTAAAAATTTTAAAAATAAAATGAGAGACTAGAAAAAGGCATTGGGATCAAAGGGATGCAATTGGGTTGTCGTGAATTTGGAAATGGGACATAAGGATAAAATTTTGGGAACCCAACATGAGGTTTGGCTATGGGATTTGGAAGGGGAAGGAAGGGGGTTGCGTTGGGGTCTTGAGAGAGGGAATGAAGGAGAGTAGTAAACAGTTGTAGATCTAAGAAGTGACTAGACTCTGGAATTCTAACTGGAATAAAAATTGGGTAGAGCCATTGGTGGTGAGTGGAGGCTCGACTTACTTTATTAGCACTCTAATATTTATTTTTCTATATATATATATATATATATATATATATATATAAGATGTTATTTTAGTAATAATAGTGGGTGAGAAAATTACATTTCAATTTTTTTTTTTTTTTTTGCAGTGGGTGAGATTAGATTGGGGTGAGAAAATAAGACATTAGAGTGAGTCTAGTAGAAGGAACATATTAAGAAAGAGAAGAATGAAATTATATACGCATTATAGTTGGTGTTAGGGTTTCCTGTTAAAAAAAACAAATGTTAAAAGTAGCGCATTCCCTTTCAGAAAAGGATAATGTCAAGTCCAATAAGAACCTATTTGTAGTAGGACTAAATATACTGCTAACCTAGATACTTTTCACTAACATACTAGCAACTCATAAACCTAGCTATATGGCCAAAACCCTACGTAGCTACCTACTCAAAACCCTACTCACCATGGTTCTCATTCGACGTTGACAACTGAACCCATTGGCCTCTCTCTTAGAGCACAGCCCATGTTTCTCTCTTCCCCTCCAGCCTCCCGCACTGACAAACACTAATTGCTCCTCTGCATCAATCTCTATAGCCAGGGGTTGATGCATTGAGGGGCAGGGGTGAGCTGACCCATCGAATTTTAGTGAATGTCCACGGATGACTTTGGTGCTGCCCCTTTAAAGGTTGGAGTTGCCCTTCATATATGCCCTTCAACTGCTTGATAAAATGCATTAGAGAGGTGTTGCCCCTTTACAGTCTATTCCTAATATTATTTACCTCTGGCTTGTTTGTTGGTTGTGATTACAATTGTAGGAGGAAAAAAAGAAACAAGTAAAAAACTATCCAAAAATGCAAAGTAAATGAAATGTGATCTCAAAGAATAACAAAGCATCATTATTCTTGGACAAATATATTAATTTGATGCAATGATATTAAACATTGTTAGTGTGTTTCTTTGTTAAGCATTTATATGAGAGCAACCTTGGAACATGTTAGTTACCCATGCAAATGAGACATTAACAGGTGTGCAGTATGCATTTCTAAATGACTTTAGGCCTATTAATACTCGATGAAATGACGATATGCATGTTATTTTTGTTAAAAAAAATTTGCGTGTTGCGCACATTATTCTTACGGACCCCCTAATATTATTTCCTGAATTTGTCACTGTCTGCATCTAATATCGAGACATTTGAACTCCTCACCACAAGCAAACTTCCACCACCTACGCTCTCAAATTCGTCAGTAGCGACACATACCCTACTGCCCGATGTAATCTCTTCCAAGATATTGAAATCCTCTGCATCACCAACTCTCCTCACATTGTCCGCTGTGAAGCCTTCTTTGAACAAATGTTAGGAGACATCAAGATCCTCATGGAGTTTATGGACTTTGGCAGCCTCGAAACTTTACTCAAAGACAATGGTACCTTCTCCGAGGCCAAGCTTGCCCACATAGCATGTCAAGTGCTCAGCGCCCTGATCTATCTCTACATATGCAACTTCACTCACCGTGACATCAAGCATGCCGATCTTTTACTTTGGCGTCAACAAGATCGTGTCCTTAACCTCGGACGGTGCTTGCAGTTCCCTTGTCGGTACTTGCGCATACATGAGCCCTGAAAGATTCAACAAGGGGAACTGCAGAGATAGTTACAATGGCTATGCCAGTGACATATGGAGTTTTGGGCTCATCATCATGGAGCTCTACGTGGGTCACTATCCACTGTTGCCCCCATGTCAGAGTCCTCACTGGCCATCCCTTATGTTGGCCATATGTTTTGGAGAGTTGCCAAGCTTGCCAGAGGTGGCTTCCTAAAAGTTAGAGTTTTATTGAGGCTTGTTTGCAGAAGGATGCGGGAAAGAGGTGGACCACCGCACAACTGTTGAGGCATCCCTTTCATCTCCAATCTTTCTTTATGAATGTTAATTAGTTTCTGTTGTTCTAAATTGATTGATTGATTTCCAGGGAAAATTGACTTTTTACTTGATAAAAAAAAAATTCTCATTCTTTGTTGTAGAATATTAAGGTACAATAAAAAATGTGTTGGAACCATTACTCGCTGCTTTACAGTCAAGTTTGTAAACAATATGACATGATTGTTGATAATTGGATCATTACTAATGTTAAAGTACTTATTTTTAGGGTTGTTTATATATAGATCCATACAACTCATATACCTTGGATAAAAACCCACATATGA